GTGTAGCGAGGCTAATACCCGAGTGAACTCAAGTATCGTGAGAGAGTTAGGCTAATAACCGATTCGATCACACCTATCATCGAGAGCAAGGCCGTGGCGAAGCCGTGATCGCGACAAGTCAAGGGAACGCAACACCCGATCCTTCATCATGCCTGTGCGCGGCCTGTGCGCGGGCTGTGCGGGCCTGGCGAGCTTCTTAGGGCCAAATGACTTGGAAAATATTTTTAAGTGTCCGGTTTGACCCCGGATTGACTTGAACAAAATAATAATAATATTAATAATAATAATAATAATAATAATAATAATAATAATAATAATAATAATAATAATAATCTCCAATAATTCATAATCGAACGGGGCGTTATAAAAATGCTCTCTTAATTTATGTGTGCCCAGTCCATTTGCCGTGAGAAATAAATCCCCTCGAATTTTCTAACCTGCACACCACCACGACAGACAACCGGAAAAAGACCAAAAAAGTACGAAATGAAAACCAAAATAGAAGAAATACCAAATAAACCCTAAAATAAACTAAAACTCGACTAAACGACTCAAAATGGGGGAAAAAGAAGGATAAAACAAACACGAAAAACGCAACAAAAATGGGACAAACAACTCCCCCACACTAAGACCTTTGTTCGTCACGAACAAAAAGAAAATAAAAGAAACGAAACAAGCAAACGAGCATGGATAACAGCTTCAGATAAGACAAGTCTCAGATTTATCAACTTAGCCGAGGAGAATTCCAACGACCAATCATGCATACCTCAACTACACTTGAATGCAACATTTCGAAAAGACAACTCTCGAGCATGGGAATATAATATATATATGCCTCACTCAGTTTCTTTCGTGAATATAGAACTGGGACTCTCACATTGGTCGATCATCATGCATCAACATAAGCTTGCTCATTGTCTATTCATACTCTAAAACAATCAAAATAATGAATTGTAAATCAAAAGTACTTTGGGGTTGCAGTGTAGGTATAAGGGAAGGAAAAATATAAGGAAAGAATGGCTCAAATAAACAATCACATCCTTGAGCATATAAACCACTCGAACATCTCACCATCTATCCATAATCAGCACAACATCAATCATTCCCATCAAAATTCCATGCAACATTCATATATGCTCATTTGAATTGCACTTCAAGTACTCAACTTTTTCATCATTTTTTTTATTATTATTTTTTTTAAGGGGGTTTGTTTTTTTGTTTTTTTTTCTAACAAAACTGAGACGTAAGGACAACATTCTCTAGGTTTAAACATTGGAGGTCATCCAAGTTTCCTAGAGTATTTTCCCAATACTCATTACTCGTGAAAAATTCCACAAGTAAGCGGAGTAGAATCCTTTCCGTCTGTCTTGCGAGTCCCTATTTTTTTTTTTTTTTTTTTTTTNAAAGTACCCAAAATGCAACTCCAACAAATTATTCACCTTCTCCAAACACATATTAGAAACTCCGTCATAATAAGAATGCATTGTCAAATCTTCAAATAGTTCAATCAAACTAGTTGACAAGAAATACAGTTTAAGGCTCAACGGGCTACTAATGGAAATATAATCTCAAGGGTCAATGGAAAAGGCAAAAACGAGCTATATCAAAAAAATTCCTCTATCATATTCACAATTCACTACCTCAATCAATTCATTTCAAAATAAACTCAAAGCAAGTTCTGATCAGCAAGAATTCGACCAATATCTCTCGAGAAACAAAATAAGGCTC